CCTGGAGGTATTTAAAAGACCTGTAGATGTGGTGCTTAGGGACATGGTTTAGTGGTGTACTTGGCAGTGCTGAGTTAATGGTTGGGCTTGATGATCTTAAAGGTCTTTTCTAACCTACATGATTCTATGACTTAAAATACTGGAACGCACAGCAGCTCAGACCCATTTCCCTTCCAGTTTGCTATGCTAGACCAAGGGAGATGCAAGCCTTTTAACAGACACCTGGGTGGCACAGAACCGTGCCTGTGGATTACCTAGAGCTAGTCAATGCCACAGCAATCAAAGCAGATGTTCACATGAATTACCCAAGTCAGATTCTCAGCCTGGAAATTTTTCAATTTGTTTGCAAACCATTTGCTTACTGCAGGTCAGAAGGCAGGGATGCTGCAAACATCTAGCAAACAAACTAGCAAAGTCAATAGTAGCAGTGTAACTGCAGTAGCACAGACCAGGCACCAGGCACTTGCTAACTAATTTTAGTCTATGCTGCTGCAGCTACACGCCTGTTAGTACTCCAGCTAGTCAGAGGAAAGCTAAAATCAGATCTCCATCTGCAGTACGAAAATACTTCAACTCCCCGTAAGCTTCAGTCCTGTCTAGACCTTTCTAGTAGATCAGCTGTTGGATGACAGCTGGGTGAAGGATCAGGTCCCCAGGAATAACTGGTACCCTTTTTCATAATGTTTTTAATGGCAGTGCAGGTGTACACTTATATGTGTTTCACACTCTTCCCTTCTCACCTGTCTGCCAGAACTGCTGTTTGTCTAGGGAGACAAACCTGAGACCAAAAGGGATCTCTTGTCATGTGTCATCCATGTTTTTTTCAGCCAGGGATGAAACTGGGAGAGGAATTTCAGGATATGTTATAAGTTTCAAAAATATGGTTTGATGAAAATGTACACAGGTAAGCAAGCTTACAATATCTTGCTTTATGTGTTTGGTGCAACAACATAATAAGCCACCAACAGAGATGGATCTGGACTGCATCATGATAAAAAAGCCATTAAAAAAAAAAAAAAGAAAAAAAGAGACAGAAGCAGCAGAAAGACTCCTCATGACCAGAAAGCTGTCTTTGCTTCTATCTAATCTCTGTCACTCCTGAGCCCATAATTCTTTATCCCACCATGTACAGTGACAGCCCAGGCACATCACTGTCTTTTCTTGTTGCTTCATTCTCATTATTCCTTTCAGAATAACTTCCCTGGTTTCTTCTCCTGCTCTACAACCTTATGCCTTCTGCCCCCATCCCTCCGGATTATTCTTGAGTCCATCTTTGTTTTCACTTCTCCAGATTCAGAGTTATCATAAGGACAAGTTAAAGTGTTGAATCAAAGAAAAGACTGCTTTGGGATTTTTTTTTTTTAGATAAGCTTTCTAATGTTTTAGTGGAACAACGAATGGCATCCCATCCATTATTTCCAAACGTAAGACTTATTTCAGGAAACTATCTTGGAAAAGGGTCTCAGATCAGGATACAGCTACTGAATAATATGAAGTAGCTATCAACACTACCTACATGTAGCCAGAAATTATCTGAAACCCCACTAAAACTGCAGCTACAATTAGCAAAAACAGAAGAAATTGTTCACATTAAAAATTCCCAATAGTTTCATGGCAATGCAAATGGCATCAGAAGGAGGGCTTTGCTATCAAACATGAAGAAAAATGTTATTTAAATAGAACAAAAAATTGCTATGTCTTCTGTGTTATATGACTTCACCCTATTTAATAAGTCAACTGGTTTTAATACACCCCAAATTGTCAGTGATTCTATTGGGTTAACACTTATTTATATTTGTAGAATATTTATATTCTACAGTTAACACTTATTTAGAGCTGGTACACATATCTCATTGAAAGCCACACAGCTCATTGCCTGAGAGAATCAAATCTCCAGGAGATTAGCACGAATGTAGGCAAATTAAAAAATAATCATCAAAAAACCCAAATGCATTCCAAGTTTGGAAATTAAGGTAAGGATTTTTTTTATGTCAGTAAGAGTTGAAATGTCAGCTGGTGACAACATCTAGAACGCATCTTACTCCTGAGCATGTAACTATTCACAATGAAGGCAACATTCTTTGGCTTAAGTGCTCTGAACTCACGCTTTACTGCTTACTTTGACTGGGGCTTATATTATCCCATTTCAATTTCATTAAAATTTCAATGATCAAGCAGAGTCCTACAGCTGCTTTCTGAACTGTGTTATTTTAAAACACAATAATACTGTTGAAGTAGGCATGAAATATGGGGGAGGGAGCTACATGCTTATTACGTGGATGGTTATGAATTGCAACATTTAGAAGAATTAACAGTGCATACACACAATACTAGTCTGATTTACGTTGTGGCAGTTCACCAGTGACTGTGAGATGTATTTAGTCTGCAAAATTCCTTATTGACCTTTTGTACCTGTTGGGTGACTGACTCGGGGCCGCAGGAGAGCAGGGAGACGACGGCCCAGCTCGGAAGTTCTCATAATAGCCTGCCCTAAAATACAGGAGAGAAAATGCATTACTACAGCTGAAGAACAAGTGATAAACCAAGGTTTTGTACAGAGACATTCCAGCTGATGGATTTCAGGATTCCCAGCTCTAAAGATTTTATCTAAGGAAAACAAGGTATAAATTTGCTGTCCACTGCCATTTTGACACAATGAAAAACACAGCAATACACAGTTAGCACACAGTTTTGGTTCGGGGTCTTGATCTGCTTGCTACCGCTCAATCAGGTAACTCACAAGGTAATCACCCATGTGCAGACTCCTACCCATCTATCAACCCAACATTAGCTCACATCATGATGAAGCCAAGGCACAACACCTTGTACTCTCTGTTGGCCAGGGGATGTGCTCAGTAGCACACTGGCAGAGCAGATGTGGGGCTGTTGATGGAGGGTCTTTACTGACTAAAAAGGAAGCTACCAACACGGAAAAGTGGTTTATTACTATTTGTATCCGGTCTACCCTGCAAGAGTTTGGTGAGAAAAAACATGCATGTCTTTTGTTATCAGAAATCACAGGATCGATTCAACCTCTTACTGCTTAAAGCTGTTTACAGATTAAACAACAATTTTCTCAAACATACATGAGCAGTTTGTTATGAGGATTGGGTAATCAAACCTCAATCTACATTAGTTTTGACTGGATACAAGCTTCATAGAGGTTACACATATTTTGCAGGAGACTGTGTTCATATATATGCTAATGAAAACAGATGTTCCTTTCTCATAGGTACACTTTTTGCAAATATTAGGTAAACATATCCTTTGTTTACTGAAAGAACTGTTACTTTTTAGTAATGCTCACTCAAAAACACAAGGAAAAGCATCAGATAAGAAACAAACCTCACCAAATTTACAGCAGAAAGAAAATACTAATCTCTATGTATCTTATTTTAAAAGCTATAATCCTTAAGGAACTAGAAAGTAGCAATCAATGGGTGTTTAGAAGCTGGGGAATGGAGCTCTCAGATACCAACTGCAAAGAGGCAGACTTCACCTGACATTCCCACCCTGACATTTAGCCACTTACTAGCTATAAATGTTTGTCTTAGGGACTTTGAAATCAAACAAAGCACATGAACAGTTATGCAGATGAGTGTTTAAAAAGCTAAGGAGAAAGATGACAGAGAATGGCAAGCAGGAGGTGTCCTGCCCTGTGAAACTAGTTACTGGGGTACTCGTAATGAGAAATGAAGTAGATAAATGTTAGCAGTCCTGATGGGAAAGCCTGGAATGAAAGGTGTCTGCACACTGCAGGACTCTCCATGAAACTTAACCGATAAAGAACATTGAGCAGGAATATCTCCCTCTGTTCAGGGAGAACAGAGTAAGCAGGACTGCTCAGCCTCTGAAATAACCGTTATTTTATGTTCTCACCTCCTCGTTTCTCCTGCAGAGCTCAGCTGCTGTCCTGCACCCTGGCCCAGCAACGGTCTCTGCCAAATGTCCTCTGCGTGGTACGGGGACTGCTTTGTCAGTGACTGCTGATTCCAGGAGATGTCTACAATGGGAGGTGGGAAATCTCAATACTTGCGATAAAATGCTTTTGTCAATACTTACAGACCAGCATAGCTTGTGGGCACACCATAAAGGAGACATGAGATGTACTGTTACTTAAAAATAAGTTTTCAGAAACCTGACACAAAGTCAGAGACAGGCTCTGCTGCACCAGAAGACCTCTATGGGACAACACCCCCATGCATTAGCTTGACATACACGTGACCTGTGCTGCTGCTGAATCTCAGTTTCTGAAGGGGGAGAGGGTCAAACAGCTGTCCAGGAGTAGTACTTGGGAAAATAAAGTATTTCTGTCCTTAAGGAAGGAAGCACCAGAGCCAGAAACTTCCTGTGATGCCTGGAGATCCAAACATCTCAATAGCAAGAATTAAGAGGAAGGTGGCGTAGTCACTGCCCTCCGCAAGCCTGCCGACACACAGATTTCTTCCCTTGTAATTTCCTTCTGCGTTTCAGATGGTTGCACAAGGCACAGTGACAGTAACAGCCTCCCAGCAAGATGCAACGATCTGTGTGATGCCCAAGCAGCTGACATCCCATCTCTGAGACAGAGCGCACTGCCTGGGTCCTTCCAGACAAATTTGGTGGCTCACAGGCTGGGGAGAGCCTTACCCTGCCCTGCACCAACCAGCTGGTGTAAAGAAGACAGACATTACTGGGGCCTATGAAAGGCCCATTCCCTATTTATAAAGACAAAAAAACCCGCTAGTCCTGACTAGTTTAAGGACCTAAGGAAAGAGCAGGGATGTGATGCTTTAAGGGGCAAGAAAGGAGCTGTCAGAATATTTGTAGGGCACCAAGTTGATGAAGAGAATGTAGAAAAACCCTGATTAGCAGAAGTTGTTAAAAACTGTCAAACCTTTGAAGTTTGCTTAGTCACTACTAGAAATCCACAAGGATGGATTGCAGGGTAATATCTTCTGCTTTCTTTATTTGAGCAACCTTTATCAAAGCACTAAGAATATAATAAAATCGTGCTAGGGAAAGCAAACCTGCTAACTTTAATAAACTGAATTTGCATTTGGAGCAAGTAATAACACTGAAACCTTTTCTGTCTGTAGACATTTCATTTTTGAGAATCATCAGTTTTTACAGTAGACCGAAAACAAAAATCTAAAGCTCTATTTCAAAATCTACATTTGCTTTCTGTCTTTAGTCCTACTTATTGACCTTCCACTGTTCACCTGCATTAGATAATGATGCTAAATTAGTAAATTTGCCTATTTTAGGGTGACCCTGTTGACAGCAATGCTTTGGGGAAATTCCTTCATTCAAAAACCATCAATACTTATAGAAGCTTAAAAAAATCTAACCATTTTAAATGTCATCAAACATTTCTAATGACAAAATTGAGACAGGTGTCACTTTAGACTTGGCTTGAAAAGGTTACACATCACAGGCAGTGATTTTTAGTGGACTGAAATGAACAAAAAGAATCTAATTAGCTATCAAAACATGAAATAAGTGTTGGAAATATGCTCTCTGTATCAAGATAAATCCTACATGTATGTAACATTATGTAAAAGATGGAAGATAACTGTGTTTAATCACTACTGTGAACATGCAAGGCCTATAATCAAGATTCCTACCTGTAGCTGAAACGTTCATCTCTGATGAAAGCAAGAAGATTTTTAATTTCACCTTAACACATTTATCTTTGCTAACAAAAAATAACTTTTTGTCATGGTTTAGCTGAAACCAGGACACTTTTGAATCTGAGACATTCAAATTTTGAAGATATATGCATACTGTTAATTTCCAAAGTTCTTTGAGTTACATTTCAAGCCACTGTAAATACCTGTGAGATTTCTATCTGGAAAAGAATACATGTATGTGAAGAGTCTTGACTCTCACCCTGAGTCAATGGCAGATTCAGCCTGGCAGGCGAGCTGTGCTCCATCACCGGCACCTGGTGCTCCTGTTCACCTCCTTTCAAGATACCCATCTCTGGGTGTCCTGAGAGCACTTTATTTCCACTGCCAATAAAAAGAAGTCACATTGTATAAATAAAGCTGGGAAAAATTCCATCTAGAATATAATGGCACAATCAGACTTTTGAATATCAGTCTATTTTTTGCAACAAGATTTTTGTTATGTGTGTCAGCAATGACAAGGCAACGGGGATAACTGTAATGAATTAACAGGTTTGTCTCCAAACACGCTGTGCTTCCCTCACACATCCTCACACGCATGTAAGATCATTCTGGATTTATGGAAAATGGCTTCTTTGCCAGTGAAACACCATTTCTCAGTGTCCTCTATGCAGTGTTCAGCATCATCAGATGCTTCTCGCCTTTGTGAAAGCTGTTACTAGCGGTTGGGCAAAGACCAGGACTTTGAATGCCATCTGGCAAGTTTGGGTACGGCACTTCCGAGATAGCCAGGCAATCTCACACAGATTCTGAGTGAAAACAGCTACTGCTCCGTTATTCCTCCAAATGGCTTGTGACACTTGCACACAAGACACAATGCAGTGACATACAGAGATGTCTGAGCTATCTAAGCTCCGATGTGGTTCATGTGACAGAGTTTCAGCAAAGCCAGATGCTGAAAAGGCAAGCCTTTGGATATGCAAAACTAGCACTGCACATTGCCTGCAGCAAGTGAATATTGATCGGGATATATTACACCTATCACCAGGCCACCAGATACTGATGCTCCAGCATCAACCACAGGCAGATGTGACATCCCAGAAGTCTACAGAACACAAAGCTCCACAGGGCTAAGAAATACTTAGGCTTGATCCATACCTCCTCTTTTCTTGCCAGAGTTCATTTTCTTTGCTTTTCAGAGACGGCATACTGTCCTGCTCCCAGAGCAGCTTTTTCTGCCTTGTAACTTCTTTTTGTCTGCCTTCCTCTGGAGAGCTGTTTGAATCAGTTGTGTTCTAGAAGACAGCAGGGGAGGGTACATGGAGCTTCCCTTGAATTTGGCATCAGCACATGCATGAGAAAAGCACAGGCTGCCCACAGATACATAATGTTGACACACCTTATCATCATAAAGAACATCTCACTAAATTATACAGTGGAATCACTTGACCTCGGTAAGGCTAACTTTGGTTTTAACAAAGACTTCAGCTAAAAAAAAAATCAACTAATTGTATTAAATTGAGCACGAAACAAAAAAGTGCAGGACTGACCAACTATGAGACGGTGTTCAGGATGACAAAATAAAACTTCCCACTACCTATCTTTGGCAGAAATCCTTGAATGACTTTGAGAGTCTAGACAGTCTCCCATTAGAGTTGGGAGGACTTTGTGAGGGACCTCAGCTTGTTGTCTCTGCCTAGGGGCAGAGCATTACTCACATGCTCTGGGCATTCTCAAATAGCAACACCAGTACTACTTCCAAAATGGTACTGGAGTGGGCCATACCTGACTGGTGAAGCTTGAATAAGCCATGGCATGAGACCCTTCACTTCTTTGTGCAGGCACTGCCCTGAATGTGGCATAAGCAGCTCCACCCAGGAAGTCACTGCTACATGACCATGTGGAAAATGGGCCATGGCTGATGCCCCTGCACAGGGATGAGTGAAAAAAGGGGGCAGGAAGGGTGAGAGGAGAAACTCATGATACAGTACTCCTAATCCTGGAGTTGAATGGAAAAAGGCAGATGACTTCTTGGGTGTGTCTGCCTTAGGCAGGAGAAAACTATGTCTGGGAATCCCACATTTATTCTACTGATCTCACCTGGGGTGTCATTCTCTGATCTCCGGCAAACACTTATTTAATTAGATGCTAGATGCATCAAGTTAAACATTTTGTGCCGCATAAGTGTGTGGGGGGGGAAAAGTGAAAAAAAAAAAAGTGAAAAAAATCAGAGTGTGAACATTCCTCCATTTGTTTTGCTGCTTTCTAGGACGAATGCTGGGAGAGAAAAGGAGTAAAAGTGGGGAGGCAGGACTCGATCTCATCTCAGATATGCTTAAAGCACTGTCTTACACTCAAGATTTTGGATGCAGGGAAATCACTTCAGATTTTATTGGCTTTGAGAAGGTAGTTAAAACAAACAGAAACAGGTGACCTAGCACAGCACCAGTTAGAGAGAAGCAGCTGCAAAGAGAGAAAGTATCACCCTCTGCTCTAGTTCAAAATGTGATGGTAGCAGTTTGCTTGGGAGTATGGTTCTTCAGTTGTAAAAATGTATAAGCTATAGCCCTCTGAGGTATCAACAGTTGTGGAACGGATCCAGGGAATACTCTTACTGTTCCCAGACTTTGTTAGCCTTTACTGAAGAATGAAACTTTGCACTGAAGATGGCTTAGTCTTTATTGCCTTACTACTCCATGAGAAACTCACTGCTGTCTTGCTTCCTTCAGTGGTAGAGGAAGAGGAGGAGAGGAGCTCAGCAGAGTTTGAAGAAACAATGAATGGAACTACAGTATCCTCAATTATCTTACGTTCCTAAAAAAAGAGGGTCAGGAGAGTGTGGGGGTTAAAAACACAGAATGTCAACTATGAGCTTAAAAAGTAGAAGCATAAGGTTTGGCTACACATCATATTTAGATGGCTAGTTAAGGACCTGTGGTACCAAGAATAATGGCAACACCTCCATTTTTAATTTGCTTCAAGGTTTTGCACACCCTTTCCTTTCACCATTACCATCTTTGAGATAGGATGTCCTAAACTGGAAAGAATATCCCACTTGGGATGGCACCACTGTTAGTCACAACACTAGTCTATTAAATTTCACATAAAAATATGGTACATGAGAAACTTATTCTGAAAGTTGAAAAAAAAATTCTTTTTCAGATCACAAGTATGGTCCTCAAGCAGTGGTGATGACATCAATTTGCATAATGTACAACTAGTCAAACTGAAAACATGAATGTTTTCCAATTTCCTGTAATAATGACCCCCATATGACTGAAGAAAAACGCTATCTTCTATGTTGTTAACTGCAAGCTTTGAACATTTCCTGTGAATTCTTTTTGAAAAACAAGGCCAGTTTACAAAATATCTACATGATCAAGCCCAAGCCAGACGATAATTTCATCTGGAGTTCCACCAAGTCCAGGCACCAAGTATATGCCAAAACACACAAGGTTCTGCCTCCAGAGGGAAGTCGGAACGTGCCTAGACACAACCATACTGACTCACCCTGACTCGTGCGGCAACTAGACACCTCCACCTATGTGGAGCTTCTGAGGATATCTGTCTAAATACTTAAATATTTATCCTCAGTGCCTATGGTAGTGTTTAAGAGAAACAATCCTCCTGAGAATTCAGCCTTGAGAAGGCTTTTTATTAATTAATCTAGGTATGGGATTTTTTTAGTTATGTAAGTGGGTGCATTTAAATACAAAAAAAGTCAATGAACAACCTCCTCCTCTGAGCCTTATACCTCCTCGTAGTATCTACGCTCCTCCTCTTCAACTTCTCTCTGGGCCTTTTCCCATTCTTCTTTCAGCTTGTCCTGCTCCTTCTGATACTTCTCCTGTAAGAGGATACAAATACAGGTAAATACAGAGCATTCTGTATTAGAAGTAAATTCTGAGTATCTCCACAGTGAAAATGAAACTGCTAAGAGTGATTTAATCAGAAATAGGATGAAATAGGAAGATAAAAATTTGAAATATCCACAGGTGTCAAAAAAAAGCTTATTTTCCTCCTCTCCCCACTTGTTTGTAACACTTACATTTAACACCTTCAAACCACAAGGAACTTTTAACACATTACAAGAAGTTTAATTTGTTCAAGTTTTCAAATCTTTGGTCAGAAATTAAATTTATGCTCCACAATTTCAATAATTCCTTTTTTATTATACAGTGTTAAGAGTTACAAAAAGCTATCACACCCCCCCAAAACACTTGGGAATGGATTTTACATTAATAACTTCAGCAAAGTAGCATATAAACAAGCAGGTTTTGCAGATACTGGTAATAATTTAAGAGAGATGCCAGTACAATTTAATGAATAACAATTATCTGTGCAGGTTTAAAAGATAAATGTGTGTAAAGATAATAGTGTGGTTTGAAGAGGGTAAGCTTATAATTAGCTAAGCAGTTTATTTTCCTCCTTAATGGAATTACTTCTTGAGAATTGTTTTTACACAGTTTTGCATGAAAATTATCTCAAAGAGATCTTTAAAATTGTTTGACAGAACTGGTTTGAATATGGGGAAGAACGGTGACTTCTGTATTCCTTTTACACCAGTTCCAAATTCTGTTCAAATTAGAAACCACATCTGCCTAACACAGAAGAGGTGCATTTACTATTGAGAGAACACACACATATGCCAGAAAAATTATAATGAGAATTTTACACCATTTTAAGAGGAAACAACCATATTAGCTAAAAAGAAATAATCTTAAGAAAGCAGTAGAGACACACACGAGTCATTCTTAAAAGATGAAAAGACTCCATTTTATTATTCTCCACCTTTTGACAGTTGTTTGCTCTTCTGTTACATGGAGGAAAGACAGGATTTCTTTGGGGCCAAACCTAATCACAGTTTCAAAAGACACTACGGACCAATGGGGAAATTCAAATTCTCAGGGCCACTGCATTTCTCCCAGCTTGGACACAAAACCAGACCTTTAACAGCTTACTCTACCACTAGGCAAAACTAGTGTTTGTTCTGAGGGGGTTTACCCGCTCACAAAAAAACCCCGAACCCTTTATGTCCAAATTTAGCTTGATGTTTTCCAAGAAGAACCTGTGAACAAAGCAGAAGCCTACAAAAAAATCTATTAAGACCATAGTTTGCATAGGCGTCAGGATCAGCAAATTGTCAGTCTTGAGAAAGAGACTCCAAGTAATTAAGAGTCTTGCAGTCTATGCTCAACATATTTTAAATATAGTTGAAGATCAACATTTGATTTAACTCCACACTGGAATGCAGAACGAAGTCCTTTTGGTCTTTCCATTGAGTGGGGAAGGGATATGTAAGAGTGCCCAAACCACAGAGAACGTGTGTGTATGCTCATTTTATCGCTCATCTGCTACAGAATTTGCTCAAGCATCCACAGAGGATGTGGAAAACATGACACGAAATGCCCAACTTTTGTCCAAAGGGACAATTCAACAGCTGAACCACAAAGTGGAAGACATGTCACGTCTTCCTTACCTGAAGCAAGCGTTCCTGCTCATGCTGCCACCTTTCTTGGCGCTTTCGCTCTTCTTCTGGATCCCAGGACCAGAAATTGAAACGCTTGCATGAAAGAAAACCAAGCTATTAGACTTTGATGCTATATTTCACAAGGCTATCAGAGAAAGCCGCACTTCATCTGGCCCACCCTGATGACAATGTTAAAATGGGAAATTGAGAACTAGATAATGATTCTCTCAGCAGACAATATTCTTAGCTTCATTGACACTTGGTATTGCTGACAGGTATCCGAATGATAAAATCATCATTTGGTTTGCAAAGAAAGGCTTGGGAACTTCAACTGGAGGGGGAAAGAAAGAAAAAGATCTGAAAGAAAACTCTAAGTGGCACTGAACATAGATACCTGCAAGTACTCAATTTTAAAGAAAATCTCCACTTTGCTTCTCTCTAATCTTCTGCACAACATGCAAAGCAATTTATGATTGTAAAAACTGTTCTCTCATTTCATACAGCTGCCAGCACAACAGCCTATAGCCTTGTTTTAAATTTTTATCCATAATGAAATAAAATCCCAGGCGTCACTAAGGATGCCATTACATGATACATTTACATGTTTAAAATCTTTATAATCAAGGGCAATTTTAGACACTTGATGTCATATTCCTTTCCACTAAGAGTCATATTAGAATCTAATAGGATGAGATTATGTCTATTTTTATGTGACAAACAGCATATGAAATATTGTGTGCTTTAGTGTAGCATTTGTGGTGGGTTTTTTATTTTATTAGGGAGACAGTAGTATTGTGGTCTAATTTCTATGCATTTAAAATAGAATAGATAATTTGGAGTTACATATTATTTTGAGATCATGAAGCTTTACTGGTTCCAGCAACCCAGTGTAGCTGGCATTCCCTCCGGACAAGGGAAGAACACAAAAATTCCAGATTCAGACAAGGTCTTGATGTGGGTTGTATTTTTTCTCTCTCATTTTCAAGAGAAAAAAAATTCTCACTCTGATTTGGGGATGTTACAAGACAGTTTGCTTAAAAAAAATCACTTTTGCTAAACACATATCTCTAAACCAAACAGTGATGTAAAAAAGGTACTCACATTTGATTTGTCACCACTATCAGAATCAGCTATTAAAAAAAACCAAAAAAAAACAGAAAAAGGAAAAATTAAATTTAACACAGCAAAACAGCAAAATGTGCTTAGCCTGCAATTAAAGCTACTGTATCTGTATAAAAATCTTCATGTTAGTTTTGTATTTGCTCCCACAACCAAATGTGAGGATGAATCACAAGCAAATAAACCAGAGAAACAGATTACACCCATCACCAACCAAACTACTTTTTATCTGGGTATAGAGAAGCGCAATATTAACTAACATCAGGTTCTACTACTACCACTAGCTAATGCCATCTACTTCTGGCCACAGACGTTAGCAGTGTTCAGACACTGAGCGCTACCTACTTTGCTCTACTTTTCCCTTTGTGATTTAGTGCACGGAAGGAAAAAGCACAGCAAAGCTAAAAGGATGGGACTACACTATTCAAGAGTCACAGTTACGAAGAGAACCATTGCCATTTTCTATCCAAATGTCTTTGAAAATTAGGTTGATTTAAAGAAATTGGGGAAAAGGTATTTAAATAGGCAAGTGATTTCATTTGGGTGCCTGAAACCAAAGCGTCACAACAACGTGCAACCCAACACCTCTTTGTCAACTGTGCAGCAGGAATAGACACTTCTACGAAAGCAAGAGGTAGAACAAGTCCCCGTGATCATCAGCTTTCACCCCAGCCCCACGTCCGAAGACACCTACGACTGGAGGCAGCAGAAGGGCTGAAGCTGGTCTTAGCGCCGCATTTACCTGACTGTGAGAAAAACTGTGAGCGCCGCCAGTTGTTGCGAACCCTAAGCGGAACCGTGGCCCCGCGGGGCGGCTCTGCAGGCAACGGCACGGAGACAAAACAAGAAACACAGCGCAGTCAAAAGGCGATGACGGACTCTCAGACCCAAGCCACCTTGGACACGAAAGGGATTTTGACTACAGTCGCTTTGGCCCATGGCAGCTAGTTTGCAACGGACCTGCAGATCACATGGACTGCCTGGATTTAAAAGTTACGTTTGCAACATGGCACCTAACCTTATACGACAGCTCTAGCACACTAATGCCAAGGGCAGCCACCTCTTCAAGTCCTTGCATGGTGCTCATATTCGTTCCTATTGCAGATTCGGGTTTTAAAGGATTATCTGATCACAGATCCTTTTAGTGCTGTATGTGCTTGTGAACACTAGAGAGCAGCCAAGTGCTCAGCATCACTCAGAAAATAGAAGACACCTACAATCTGTTATTTGCTGTTTGGATTGATTCGTGCTTAACACACACACAAAAAAATATTTTTCACAAAACCTGTTTGGAAAGCACATCCCCACTTAAAACAAGTGAGACTTCTATTCCTTTTCAGAAAACCGTGTTTTCCACACTGGATCAATCCTGAAAACACTAGGATAATCAGTATCTTACCTACTACTTACTTACTGACAACCTAGTAAGTTCTCAGGGGGAAGAAAATTTCAGATGGTTTCTCTCCCTCTCTTTCTTTCACAATACTTACATACACACATCTCTCAAATCAATATCAAACTACTAATCATTATTAATCTCAAGCAAAATTTTGTCACGAAGGCAAAAAAAAAGTTCTGCTTTGCAAGAACTCATGACGGGCACAGGTCAAATTCAGGGTCAGGCCCTCAATACAGGACAGGTATGTGTATTGTTCATCTATGAAAAGGGGCTCCACATAGCAGCTAAGTGCAGAATTTATCTCCAGAAGTTTTTATTGTGAGATAAAACCAACTGCTAAGCCATTTTCATCTGTAAGCAGCAGTACTAATAAAATGTAATACTCATTGAAATAATACAGCTTTTATTGCTAGGCCAGGTAAGTGCAAGATAGGGTTCTCTCTGCCTCCCTCCGTTGTGTCACAATTCGGCTGTTGTATTTACGGGGAACAGCCAGAAGAGTCCTTTGCATCACAGAAGCCACGCTACCAATATTAGTCAGATGCAACTAGAAAATAACCATTTTAGCTCCAAAACCCTCCAGGTCATTGATTAGGCACTTCTCCCTAAACACCACACACACATACTCAGTTACTGTCTGGCTGAATTCTCCACATGCTTTTTGCTCACCTTGTAGACCAGAATTTTGCAGAGTAACTTGGCTAGTCTCGGGTAGTTTCTTTAAAAATGGCAATACTACACTCCCCTCTTGTTCCAGGGCTTTTGGTTTCATCACCTGTTCAGACATTTGGAAGCAGAAAAGAGAATTCAAAAATCAGCAGGTTCAATCAAAGGTTAATAGAAAACCTTTCTACTTACTTTCCAAATCAACATTATCAAAGATGAAGCCTCTATCTCCAGAATTACAACATGGAGTTGCAGTGCTGAAGTCCTGCAAATAACCAGACGCTGTTTGTTGTTGACATTCACACTGCTCTGTATACCAAAGCTGATCCTAACCAAGGACCAACATCTAACTTACTCGAGTAACAAGAGCAGTATGGTCACGGCCACTTGCTACCTCTGCCACCACCTGTACTTGTTCAGCACTTCAAGAGCACTAAGAGGGTAAGCTCCACTGCTACACCTTCTGGATACTCTGTCCTCCTAACAGGCAGTGGCACTGGGGTTTACAGGTTAAGTTCTCATTTCTGATCCAGCCAGTTTACAAGTTCAAATGCTACAAGAAGACACTGGGGAGTTCCTTTGGAGGGGAAGAACTCTCTGATGACCATAGGATTTGGTACAGAAACCATCCTCCAGGGTCATTCCATGGCACACTGTTTTGAATGAACTCCCTGATGTGACATTATATAGAGAAAAATACCAATTTGCACAATAAACATTTCCTTGTGACATCTTTCTTCTTTTTTGTCATCTTTTCCATTCCCTCTCTTTTTTGTCCCTATGTACCTCCGGTGTAGCAGGGAGCTCTGCTTCCTTCTGCTGCTCCACTTCAGGTTTCTTCACATCTTTCTCATTTGAAGCAGCTTCCTCTGAAGGGACAGGACCAGGAAGAAATTCTAATCTCTTCACAACAGGGCTGGCACAAGCTGCAGTTGACTTGAATTGCTTTTGATCTGAACCTAATTCACACATACAAGAAATAATATTGCAAGGTTAAGATTTTTTCCAAATAAAATGTAGACCTATATTTCTTACAAACCCTTACTGGATATATGTAAGCTCATAAAGTTGATGTTTTTAAAAAAATAATCTTCTTTCTTCAATACAGGCAAAATTAATCTCTCAGAGAAGACAAGGCTTTAAGGGTGAAATTCACCTGAAAAAATGTAGATGCTTACACTTGACTTGGGCATCATGGGGCACACTTCATGGTCAATGAAGAGAGAGAGGCAGTTCTTGAGGAAGAGTCATCCAAACTATTTCAGACACTTCTCTTCAGATGAGATGAACTGCAGCCTGCAACATGCCTACTGAGGTATAGATTGCTTTACTGAAGTTCTGGGATGGATCCTATCCCAAGATGCTATCCAGACAAGGAGCTACCACAATTAACATGGTCTCACTGCCAGAGTGATATTCCAGATTGGCCGTTTCCACTACACCACGTCAGTCAAAAATCAGACAGCAAAGAAAATGGTGCTAACAGGAAGCCTTGGACTGGAATAACCTGGTTGGCATTCAGCTCTTAAAAAAACTTAACAAGTTTATGCTGGTTTATGGGAGAAGGAACCAGGAGTGCACAGGCCTACAGCTGAGGACTGTGACAGCTAAACTAGTGCCAGCTGGTACCACCACTGGAAGCAGAGAAGTTTCCAGCATTCGAGGCAGTGCACAAGAACCCAGACATCTCTCTAACCTCCTAAAGCAGAACCTCAGCTTCAGGTCCTGTCCCCTCTCCAAACACAGCAACAGCAGCAGCTTCCAAATGTACCTCTTTAGGAGGCTAGGAGAGGGAGCTAGGCAAGAGATGCACTCCACGGCTTCACTAAGAACCTGCACACAAGCAGAGACAAGAGCCGCTCCTGCTGCCTGGCAGATGCACACCCCTTTGGAGCAGTTCCCACACTGTTAGTGGCATAGGGGTCACAGCATGGAAGTATCTGGCTTGTACTCAACAACAAAGGAGGTTCTTCATCTACCAGAAGGTCACACAGTTTGGACCACACCTATCCCACCAAAGCAGATATAATGAAAATCCATGTTCCTTTACCATTTCAGCTTTTGCAGTGCTATCTCAGTTTTCCTTGGCAGCCAATATTAAACTTTGCTATCAATACTTAATGTTTAGCATTTCTCACAGGTGTGGAGCCTGACACAAGGTAGCTTTGTGATCTGTAGACAAACATCACTAACTCATCGCTGCTGACCCTTGAGGGGAGAATTTGGTTGGTTCACCACAAGACTGCAGCTTCTACATTACTTGCCAGGTGCAATTCAAGATTGTTAACCTCTGTGCTGCTATGCAATGACTTTTCTACCTGAAAGGTTGGCCCGTTTCCATCTATGAAACAAAGTAATTAAGTCAGCTGATGAGCCCTTGCTAACAGCCCATGTGCTTCGGAGTCTTGCAGCATGTCAAGAAAAGGCTGGCTGTGCTTAATTTCTTGGGGGAACAGTACCTCACTGACGTTTGAGGGCAAAACTCAATTGTTTAAGTCACATTTATCCTCAAAAAATAGGAGCAGTACACTTATAGACCAATTAGAGGCAGAAATCTCATTTGAATACCTACTTCAAACAGTACTTTTTACTTAGCCATACCATGCTGAACTTCGATAGACCCATTTTAAAAAATGAACAATAAAAAGAGTCCATGAACTTAGTGTGATAGCAAGCAGTGGATAAGATGCATGCTCAAAGGTAATGGTTCAGAAACAGCCTTATGAGGAAAGTAGCTTCAAATTTTACCAGCAAATTGCTGTTCCCTGATCAGGAACCATGCATAAAGGCTTTAAAGCAGGAAATGAAGAGTGTGCACAATACTGTTCATTTAAAGCCCCTATGAGGACTGAAATGTCCCTTCTTATTCTCCTTCCCCATTTCTTAACATCTTGGGGGGGGGGGAAAGTGTTCAGCAAAGCTATTACTGATGGATAGTTTCTGCCCTGACTGCTTTCCGATTACAGCATGCTGTGGCACCAGCTTCACACACACATACGGCAAAGCAGACAAGTCGCATCCCAAGCAACGTGCAGACAGGTTTGTCATTTCAACCACAGAATCACAGAACAGCCCAGGTTGGAAGGGACCTTGAAAGATCATCTGGTCCCACCTTTTCTGGGAAAGGGAGCCTAGAGGAGATTTTGTAGCACCCTGTTCAGTTGCACCTTGAAATCCTCCAGCCATGGGGACTTGACCACATCCCTGGGAAGGTTGTTGCAGTGAATGATCGTTCTTACTGTAAAAAATGTCTTTCTTATGTTGAGATTTCTGACATCATCTGCATTTTCTAATAAACCCTCTTGGTGCCGCTACAGATGCACTTACTGGACTCTTGCTGCAGGGTGAGCCTAAACCCCAGCCCCTGCAGTGGGCAAGGGCAGGGGCAACAACCCACCTGGGGATGGGCACGCTGGGCTCGCGGGTCCCGCACGTCCAGGGCTGGCCTCGACCAGCTGGCTGGCGGCTGCATCTGCTTCCACTGGGGAGGCCTGCAGAGAATAATACAGTAGAAACACAGTGAGTACAGTGGAAATAAAAGCATGTGTTAATTCCTCAAGGCAGTATTTGCTGCTTCTTTGTAATGTGTTGGAACCAGACTGGTTTAGAGCTCAGCAGGGAGCTAGGGAGTATGTTTCGGAGCAGTACGTGCCGCTCGGGCGTTGAATCTCTGGGCTTTTCAACCATTCATCAGCAGCCATTAGTGTGGTTGGTTTGGAATAGCTCCTACAAGCTTCTGAAATTGTAGGGTATCTTGGGTTGTGCTAGCTGGAGATAAGCATACATTTCACCCCTAGTTTCCTCTTCCAGAATAAAACAATAACATATGCATTAGTGAACACATATCACATTTGAAAAGTGATATGTTTGAAAAGTGGCAAAGTAATTAAATACTTCCTTTATTTCACGGTTGTCTAAACAATCTGTTATCTGAAGGGAAAAACCAGAGTAAGTATTAAAGGTAATGAAATACTTGAAACGCTACTAAGAGAGGACTGAAAAAATATGGTGAGACCATACCGAGCCAATAAGCCAAAGGCCTTTGAAAAGCCAGCTTCCTGACCCAGGACAAGGCTATTGGAGAGCTAAAACCATGCTGTCAAAACAACGGTGGCACTTCAGCTGATCTGTTTAGCAGCTTCCACCATACATCTGCTTTCCCAGTAGGCAAATCAAGAAAAATCTGCAGCAAACCAATCAGCCACTGCACAGTGCTTCCAATGCACAAAAGATCTAGAAAATGGTACATTCCACAGAGGAAAATAAAAGCAGATTACTTTTAGAAATAAAAAGTAACATATTTCTGAAGTAGTCTATTGTAGTCTATTGCTTTCCTGTCCTGCTCCTATCCCTCCATCTTATTAACAGCTGCAAGGGAGGAAATCCATTGATGAAGTTTTCTCTTTTCTGGGGGCAGGATTCAGACCTCCACCTTCTCCACAGATCCTATTTCCCATCCCCACAGACCCCCATGAGCCTACGACTCCTCACAGGTCCGTGCCCCGTGAAGAGCAGACCTGGGCTTTTACAGCTCAGTCCTCGGGGACGTCTTCTGGCAGTGCCAACAGGATGCCAGTGCCTGTGGACATGCTTTGGCTCGAGAGTTTCTTTGCTCTCGACGAGACGCCTCTTCTCGTCTTTGGAGGGAGGCACGCTCCCGAGAGGGGCAGGGAACATGTCTGGGAAGACACCCTGTGAGGAAATGGTGGGGACCGGTGTGGGGCCATGGCTGGGGCAGCAAGCAGTGCCAGGAACAACAGAAGGAGCCCACGGCTGCTGAGGGCTGTGCCACCACCTCGCAGCAGGACAGGCACCAGATCACAGCCATGAGTTGCTAGAAGTGGCAGCACGTCTCCTCCAGCGCCTGCTGGGGCTGGCTGCCCACCATCCTCCCCACAGCCCAGCACCTTCCACTGCTCCCTCACCCTCTGCCCCAGCTGAGGCACGGGGACACACTCCCCACCTGCCTAAAAGCGGTTCTCAAACCGGACGAGGCAGAGGGTGAAATACACACTCCAAAAAGGCAGCACAGAAAGTTTGAGGACCTCTCCTCCTCCATGTCCACCTGTGAGCGTACCTATACCAAGAGCAAAGACGGCACGGAGCTCCCCTTCCATGTGTTGCAGCTCCAAGGAGGGACGGTCACTGAGGATGAGGCACAGCCTAAAAAGTAGGCCCCACAGAAATGCTGCAAAGACCACAAGTCCTGTGCCCCAGAGATTTGCCCCTTGCCATTCTGTTGCTCTCTTCTCCCATATGACCCACCTCTCCCTTCCCCAGCCCATCTTGACGCCAGCCTGTGTTTCAGTGAGAGCCTTCCCACTGAAAGCCCCAGCAGAACACTGCCACTACAGAGAATTTCTCCTTCAGCCTCAATTCTGGTTCCTGACACAACAGCAGCCAGGAGAGAAGCTACTGGAAATCCTTCCCAACCTTGCTCGATGCAGAAATAACTTCTTTTCTCCGTGGGGTCAGCCAGGCCAGTGTAATAGGCTGCCCAGATAAGTTGTGCCATCTCCATCCTCGGAAGTTTTCAAGACTCGAAGGATCAAGCAAGCCCTTAGCAACCTGGTCTGATCTCATCCCTGATCCTGCTTTGTGCTGAAGACTCAGTTAAGAGACCTTACAACCTGAATTATTCTGTCATTCTACAACATACAAACCTCCATTAAACCTAAGCAAATGGCTATTATTGAGAGCTCAGGGTCTGCCCTAAACAAGGTAGATTTTAACTGTAAAAGCAAGAGGCACCTACCTGACAACTCTACCCACTGCTCCAAAAGCATAAGCCCTTCCAAAGGAATTATTGCAAATTTCAATTATTAATGTTTATATTGTTAAGTGTGGTAAAGCAATAAAATTCACCCTCCGATCTCAAAGAGCAACTGTCCAAACTGAAAAATTGAAAGAATAAAAAATAAAATTCAGCTTTAATTTCAACCTCAGAGGCTTTAAAGCTATAAACAGTAATAAACCAGGGCCAATACAAAAAGTGTTAGACAGCATTACATACACCCAGGGAAGTCAACTGCTGATGGCAGCTGAAGCTGGGGAAAGCACAGCCACGCTGGCCTCTCAGAGGGTTTAAAAAGCTCAGCAAATGCACAGACACGATGCACTTTTATCACCTCTGGGTCTAGAGTTACCTCAGGAACCTAAACATGGTGCTGTGTCACGTAGCTATCCTGCACAAGTGCAATAACTAAATCTACCCATAACCTATATCCAGGAGGTTGAACCAGGTATGGACATAGATGTTATTTATAGAAATTCTTTCAAATAGTTAAAAAAAAAAAAAAAAAAAAAAAAGAAAGACACACTACTAAAGTTAAAAAAAAAAAAAAAAAAAAAAAAAAGGAAGAACTACTACTTGCTCTTTCAGGAAAACTGAATTTTGCAATGGCATGCTGCTGAAGTTCTGTTGCTGCTCACGAGACTCGACTCTTCCTCCTCCCTCTGCTGAGCAATTAAATGCTAGTGACATAAAGCTAAAAATATAAAACCGATTAGTAGTAATTTATAAAAAAATTAAGTCAACTTCGCTGGGGAACTCTCTCATTCCCACTACATCTAATTCTATTTATAATACCAAGTAATGTCATATTACCTAGTATTTTATCCACAGGTGTATGATATACTTAAGAAAATTCTTGTACTGATACAGCCAATAAAACGTCTTTTCTAGCACAGACTATCATCGTTCACATTTCATAACTATTTTGTAATCAAACGATGATGTTACCACTGGACATGACAAAAGGCACACAAACATTTCATTGTGCCCAAGAGGATCGTATTTTGACAGGGACAGTAAAAAAATGAACAACTTGGCGAGCTATGTTTCTAAGGCATTTCAGAGGAGCTCTCATGCTTTGGCATGAAGGACCCGCTGCAGCCACACGCGTTCATGCGGGCAGAGGCGTCATTCTGCAGGACCACAGAGCCAGTCCATACGCCGGCTCTGCTGCAGGTGCCTCCGTGGGAAGGTCACACAACACCTGCTTGTCCACCGCCACAGGCAATGAAGCCTTCAAGAGAAGTAGGAAAAGCCTTGCTGCGTAGGGGCTGTGGTTAACCCTGCCCCCAGAGCCAGGCTGGTGTGAAGACTGTCCCATTAACTCCTGAAAACTGAAGAATGCGGTCTGCTTGGATCGGTGTTTTTATTACCCTGCGCATCTAGCAGGAGTTATAGTGACCTTCCCCATTTAGGGTTTGGAAGCCTTAGTCCATGATAGAAAGTTAAATATTGTGATTGCAGTTGCAGTTATGAGCACATCAGTAAGAGCGGACAAAGCAACACCACAGTTCTGCTAACCGTGGTATCCATTTAACAAAGACACATGCACAGCTGACTATATAGTGTTATCAAACACCTATTAGGCACGAAAATAAATCAGTTCAGTTTGTGGCAGATGGGATTTTTATCCCACAAACTAGGATATCAGTCCAAGTGTTTCTTTATTTAAGATCATACAAGCCAGAAATAGCCACACTGCTTATTGCTGTGGAAGAACCTTACACCCTTATAAGACCTAAAAATACAATAACTAGGAACACCTAAAACAACAAACATCACAACTACTGCAAGAACGCAAACTCCAAAGGAAATTATAGTAGAACTTTATTAACCCTTATTGTAAATTAAATCAAAATGTAGGTCAGTTAACACTACTTGTACACAAAATCACATGAAATATTGTTATTATATTTTCTATGAAAACATGACAAAACAAGCTGTCAGGAACCAGTGAGAATGCAGAGGTATCAGGAAGAATCAGGTTAGAACTACAGTTTAAATTCTGTAAAATCAGTCAGGAATGAAATTGGTTGCAGTATCAATAGCCACATCTTTCAAACTTCTGTGATTGAAACTGTACACGTATCATTGACTTTAAAATTTTCATACAATGATCTTCTCCTCAAAGCTCACATTTTCTGTTGTGAGTGGTAATGGTGGCATGACCTTGGGCTGCCACAGCTAAGTGCCTTGCATGCCATGCTGCTATGGTACTACAGCCAGAACACTGCTCTGACACTTTAAGTCATCTGCCTCTTCTGGCAGCTCTATAATGCTACACTCAGGCCAGCTATTACAACCAAAGATCAGGGTGGATCAGTAACTGACAGAGAAGCCTTGAAAATGTTGCAAGAAATAGCATTAAGGATTCCTGCTAGTAATTTCTCTACAGTTATTACTGCTCAGTTAGGTTGTAAAATAAGCTCCTGTCATCCATAAACACTGAAAATTGCACGTGTGTCTGGAGGACAGGAGACACGGATGCTTAGATTCGTAACAAAACCCTGAGCAGAGTTCCCTTCTAGCTGCTTTGAAGCTTTGCTACTCTCACTTCTCATCCCAAACCTTTCTCCCTTCAGGTAGTTCAGCTCTCCACGCATCTTCCCATGTGTGGTTCAAGGCAAAGCTGTCAATCTGGAACAGACTTACCTACTCTACAAGTGTTTCTTGTAACGAATCAAAGAACAAAGACTTGTCCTACCAGCTATGTACAAAATCAGGATTTCAACCCTGCTCTCCTGTAGCTTGGCCAACAATCCCCAACCACAAGAAAGCTTATACTTTAATCTCAGTTCAATTAGTGGATTTTTGAAGATGGAGGAGTGTGTTACTTGTATATATAAAAAAAGTTTATTTTGTGCCAAGCATGCAGTGAGTAGAAATGGGCAAGTTTAAGCTAGCTAGTGAAAAATTAAAAGAAAGCCAAAGTCTCTCCCCACCATCACCACCTAACCCTGATCTTTTTAAAGTTGCTGTCTATATATTTTTTGTTGTTGATCAGAGCAAAGCTATAATTAGAGCTATAACAAGCCAATAATTTCTAAATACTCATACAAAGATTGATTAAAATAAAGTGATGTTACTCACTGACAAATTAATCCCCCTACACTAAAATCTGCACAAATATTGTTTTAAAACAAAAAATTTACTTTGCCAACTTCTGATTCAAAGAGCTAGAGGATACACACATTACAAATGCTGAGAAGCTGCAACTGTTCTGCATAATGGAAAGAAAACACGACCTAATGGCTGACAGGTAGGACCAGGGTGAGGAGATGATTCTCACGGTATTGCTGGTATTGCCACTGACTGATCAGTCAGTCTTTGGGCCTGTGCTCCTGTTTCTCCAGCTGCAATAAGAGAGGTGTGCTTTACCTACTGCCTCTCTCAGCAGCACATTGCTCCACAAACACTAGTGGAATATTTTCATCCTGCTTATAGGCCAAATTTATCCTTCCTAGCCTTAAATCACAGGAAAAATTTGGTAAGTTACTTTGAGTAAAGGCATGTCTCTCATAAAATCCCGCCACAAAATCTAAGCACTCTACCTATACACTACAGACACAAATATATTTTCTTGAAAATATTTTTTAATAAAATCCTTCCCACCTGTTGCAGCTTTTTGCATCTCATTTCATAGTAGATTTAGGCAGGAGTTACCTATGTTTCCCAGTCAGTCTCTGTTTGCCAATCATTATTTGATTCACATATAGATGGGGTTCTTCTCTGTCAAAAAGACAACCAACACTGAAGTCTCATCCATACAAAATGATCCCTACACTTCTCTAGCTCCCCCAAAACCTCAATCATATTAGTGTTTTAAGTGGTGCAACTTGACTAAACCGTTTTCCAAACTTCAAGCCAAGAGAGCTGTAGGAGTACAGCTGCACAGCATCTTCCTGTATTGCAGACAACGCCTGAGGCCAGCCGGACAGATTTAGAGCAGGGCTACAGAGCTTCAAAGGGAAGCCTGCCAGGCAGAGAGAAGACAGGACTAGTCCATTTGACAACTGAACTGAAACAGCAGGGGAGCAGCCCTAAGAGGGGTAGAGGAGGAGGAGTAGGAGGAAGGGGCACACAAAGAACAGGAAAAGATTCAGAAGGGGAAGACAGAAGAGCCAAAGGTAACGTATATATGAAAAGGAATATATACTTCACAAAAGAGATTCAGGGCAGAAAATGAATGAATAAAATAAAAAACCAAAAACAAATCACAGAGCAACTGGAGGGAAAAAAAAACCCGCTAGAAACAGCATCTCTTTAACAGGCAGAGGAACTAGTGCCTATGAATGTTATTCAAAGTCTGGCAAAGGACACAGATAACAAGAACTATATCAATAAATGAAAGTATACAAATAAAGGCAGTGAAAGCAAGTTTAGAGAAGGCTTTGAAAACATGCTCAATTTGTAAAAGTTTTCTCAAGGCAAAAGAAGTGTAGTTGTTTCTTCCATTCCAGACAGCTCTGCTTCTTCATCTCAGCTGCTTTTCTGTCCCTGTTACTGTCATCATCTCCTCCTCTCCTAAAAATTCAGTACAGTTAAGCATCAGACAAAAACTATAGCCCTGGTTTCTCATTGTGGGAGGTGATACAGTGGCAGCTTCCGAAGGCTTTCTTACTTCCAAGAATGCGTAGCTTGGCAGTGCCATCCTGCTGGGGCAACAAGCAAATTCCTTTTCCCTCTGGAGGGCTCACTGTGAAAGCTACAGGGTTATTCAGCATCTTGTCCAGCAACAAGTGCCTGTTTTATGAGTGGGACAAGCCCAGAAGGCTCTTTACTCATTTGGATTCTCAACCTTCCTAGGAAGGGTTATACCTTCAGAGACGAGCTTAGTGTTTCAGACTCTGCAGCTGCAGGCTGACATCATTGTCAGTTGTCCAGAAACCAAAGTAAAATAGGTACAGGGAGAAAGGTGAATGGAGTGAGTCCAGCATAGCTGCCCAATGATTGCAGGTAAGGCCCCAGACCAATCGCATCCGTATCGAGCTGCCTATAGCAGTGCTGGCCTGCGCCCCAACACACAGAGTGAAGAAGCCAAGTGTGGGTACCATGCCCCATCTCTAACCTGGCATCTAAGACCTTCCCATCGACGAACTAGGGCACTCCTGTATGCCTGATAACTAAATTACTGCCTATGCCTTAATCGAAGGCATGGGGCCCTACAAAATGAAAACAAAGCAGCTGGATGAAGAGAGGCAAATCTCTAGAAGGAATAGAATATTTAAATCTTATCTTGGGCTGGCAAATTCCCTTCCAGCCACAGGCAGGTCTCCTTCTCTTCTCCCCCATCATGCTTAGTGCATTCCACTTGCTTGCCCATGTAGGATCCCCTTGATGCAGTCTCCTCTCCTTGCTCTGCCGTTGATGTGCTTGACACACACACCTTTGCTTGAAGCTGAAGTGCCACAAGTAATTATAATGGTTTGCACTACTTGGTCACATTGCTGATGAAATTGTAAAGCTAGCAATATAAAATTCTTAGTTAGAACAGAGAAACTCTGCCAATAGCACCATTTGCATGCACACTCACTCCTTCTAGGCTTCATCATTGAGTGCACACAAGCTCACAAACCAGGAGGTTATTCCGCAAATGTCAGAGTCACAAGGAATCTGAGAATTCAAACTCTTCTGCCTCCTTTACCAATATCACTACGAGGGCTAACCCACTGGGAGCAGAAACTTGACACAGAAAAATCTGCTGTCAGCTGGCCACATCATCCTCAAAGCTGTAGAAAGGGAAGGATGAGAGGGCATCAAACAGCTACAAATATACCCAAGCCCTGACAGTGGCTTCTGCTGCTGAATTTCCTCTCAACTTTGCCACAGCTTTACTGATCTGGAAATCCTAAAAAAAGACATTAGCACTTTCATTCGGCTCCTTTTCCGATTGTCACTGTGCTTCTAACCTAGAGCAAGATAAGGCTCTTCTCTATCCTCCAAACATTCCCATTACCAGCTCTCCCATACCAGACGCAATGCTTACCTGTTTTTTCCCTTACAGCCAATTCAATCTGACAGGAGCAGCCTCTGCTCTGCCATCCCTGCCTGCTTTCCTGCAAATCATTCACTCTTGACTCCACACATGCTCCCATGCTTGCTGCAGGCTCCGTGGCCTGGTTGTCCGTGGCCAGAGACTGGCATGAAGCAGGGGGGTAAGATAAGACACAAGCCTTTTGGCATGAATGAACCACCAGTCCCCGGGACAGATCCTTGCCTGCTCCCTGTTATCCATCTGGCCAATGCTTGGAAGAAATCTGAGATGAAAGCAAAAATTACCATACTCCCAACTCTCACCACATCTCTGATTCTCTTTGTTGTTACACAGAAAAGAACAGTGAGAATTCCCCCTCCTGCCACTTGTTTGCAACCCTTTTACATGCTTTATTTGCAGTCCGGTCCATATTTCTTGTTTTGTTTTTACCATCTACTTCCATTACAGTTTTGTAGCATCTAGATTCCTGCTGTGATATGCTCTAGTTTTATTCCTGCCTTTTTCTCTGGGGAAGAAGGGGAGAGAAAGATAAAAAGGTAAAATTAATTTGTTTCTTTGATAGGGCAGTTAAGAAGCATGTTGGCCCCTCTGAGCATTTCAATAGCTTATCCTCTTTTCTAATATTTCTGAGAGGGGAATGAAAGCTGAATGCTCAAAACTGCCAGCACATCCACATCCTCCTCTTTGAAAATTGAAAACGGAGACTAATTATAATGGCTTGCACAGTTCAATTATGTTGCTGATCTAATCAGCTAACATCAGGAGAAGTGCTGAATAAATCTGCACAATAGCTGGGACAGAGTCGATTTCTCCCTGGCCCAGCACATTTCAAGCACGCTTATCAGCTACATGACATCTGAAAAAAAAGAGACGCTGGCTGCAAAAAGTTTTTTGAACCTTCCTCTCCCATTTTTCTACTTGCATCCCAAAGGAAGAAGCCTTTAATTTACAAAGGATTTTCTTATTTTCTTTTTTTTTTTTTCCCCCTGGTCTGGGCACACCCTCTTGAAATAAAGCAAACATAAGCACTCGGGTTTCATTAGTTAGTGATTAAATACATTATGAGACAGAAAATTGGCAGAGAAAGTAAGGCTGGTTTGTTCGTGTTGGTCTTACTGTTGGCTCTTTGTGCACACTCTGAGTGGCAGGCCTCTGTAAACTGAGCTCAACACTTGTGGGGTCCTTCTTCAACTCTACCAGGGGCCTGTCCCCTCTGGCTACTCCATCAAATTTCAGAGATCTGCTCGGTGAAGGAGTAAATATTACTGTTGTACACTCTTTATCCTTCTCTTCCATGCCGTTGAAATTCTCTCCGTTCATGCTGACTTTTCCATCTACCTGCAGAATACAGTTAAATAAATATGCTGAGGCAATTAGCGTTCAAAGGAATTTAGGAAATTAGGAGTTCAACATGATATTACAATTGTTAGCAGAGTCTGTGCCATCAGTGAAGGACAGAGCCAAGCACACATTTCATTCAATGGCCAAGACAGAAGAAAAATCTGTTCCAGGGGGGTCATAAACAAAATAAAGACAGAAGGTACTAATTTTTCTGGATTCCCTGGTTTTCCACATTTCGTTCTCCCAGTAACATACAGACACCCTTTGTGTCCATCCCAGGTCAGTGGATTTTGATCTAGTTGAAGACATCCCTGCTCATTGCCAAGGAGTTGAGCTAGATGACCTTTGAAGGTCCCTTCCAACCCAAACTATTCTATGATTCTATGATTTTAAAAGAACAACAAAGCTTTATGTTAAATTTAGACCAAAACTTCTGGGTTTTGCCTTGCCTCATACAAGAGGCAAACAGGTTCTCCAAGACTAATTATACTGATGAACTGCTATGTAACCTGATGACCTCACCATAGCATTAGTAGACCGTGCTTTCTGAAGCACTGTCATGTGAACTTTGAAGGGTCAGGAGCAGCAGAGTTCATCCTGTTCATAACATCGATGCAAGGAACCAAAAAATAAAACTGGGTATTCCACCTTCTCCATGAGGTGAAAAATAAATAGCTGCTTTCCCAGAAAATGATTTTATGCTGTCTCCATGAAAAGGAGAAAGCAGAAACAGTTAACTACTTTCTTCTCAGGGTCAAGCTAGCTCCTTTGTGGGCATATATTCCTGCTAAGGAACCCTTAAGCCAGGAAGAAAATACAAAATAAGCTTTAGCTTCTTCGTCTGCACTGGTACAGCTTCCTCTTGAGACTTCAATATTTCATAATTATGTTCTGAATGGAGGTTTGTAGAAGCCATGGTACACATGAAAAAAGTCTTGCTACAAAGAACTCACAAGCCATTCACCATAAAAGGGCCCAGCTGGAGAGAGACCAGAAGGGAACCAGGTATCAGTAACATCATATTGCTCCTGTCTATCTACAGCACAGAGGTTTTATAGGCTTGTCAGGAGTGAGTTTTAAATAGATTTAAAGGAGGGCTTTGCTACTCTCTGCACAGACATCCTTCCTTGCAAAATGATCATCACAGGAGACAATGCAAAGGTGAGGGAGGAAATATGGACAGACTCTTCTCTGCTAATCATTGGACTTTGCGGGGGTAATGGCATAGATTAGTGATTTCCTAGAGAAGCTATCTGGGATATATGTGGTGATCAGTCATTTCAGGTTTCTCCACAGGTACTGCATAACAAAGACCACATGTAAAACCAAGCTCAGAAGTAAGCCATTCCATGGGAGCTTTTCACTTGTTTCATGGTCATTGAAAACTGATGTAACAAGTGTAAAAACTGCTTTATTGAACTAAAATGCAGTTTAAGAAAACAAAGTTCTTCCCATCTCATCCTCCCTGCCCCACTCCTTATTTTACCATTTACTTATCTTTAGCACTTTACTTCTTGAGTAAACAAGCTTGGATACCTCAAGGATGGCACTCTAACTTAGTATATGCCATCAGTGCTAAGCTGAGGGCAAACTCCTCCTGTTGACTTCTCGTATATGCGCATCCAGAGATCTGTTCTCTGTCTGAGGGTGATTAACTAAGGAGCCATGTCCAAGGCACTGGGCAACTTCAGCTCTGACAGGAGTGCAGGGAGGTGGCAGTTAGCACCTCGTGTAACCAGCTCCCAGACAGAGGAGACACAGCCCAACTCACAAGTGATTTCACTCCTTCTGACTGCTTTTCAGATGAAAAGGTTCCCCTCCTTTCCTCACTGCCATCACCCACTCAACACAGTACTACTCTTAGGGTTTATTTCCAAACGCAACTGTGAGTAGACACTGAGCCCCAAGCCTTCTGGGACTGTGTGCTGGATTACCTACTAGAGAGGCAGGTCATGAGAGATCTCAGAAATAAAAAAGCTAGGGAACCACTGGCAGGCCACACCATCCATTTTAGTGTCTCTGTTTAGACTAAAACATTTCTCTATTTATATTAGGGAGGAAAACCAAATGTTTGAATGATCAGGACAGATGCCCTGGCTGCAGAGTTAAACAAACATAATCCTTTCCTTCTGATCTGGAGCAAGTCAACACATTGTCACCAGAGCCAAGAATCGTTGACTGGTGTTTCAGGGGAAAATAATGCTACTACTACATCTGCTAGGGAATCATTCCTACTGAGACAAATCACATTTCTCCACAACAAGTGAACAAGATCTAGACAGACTTTTTGTGGTTGTTGGTGGGGGGGGGAGAAGCATCTGTGGGTTAGTTTCTCCCCACATACGTGAACTCTGTATGCATTAACGTGAAGGTGATACACACATACATCTTGGTCCTCTGAGGAAAAAAGTGGCATGAATCAGAAAAAAAAAGATCCACGATTCACTGATGTCTAAAATGTAAACTTCAAGACAATACTAACTGAGGTATAGGAGAAATAGGAATTACCAGTTTCACATTTCAACTAGGAAAACATGGTGGAGGAGCTTCCACAAGAGCTGGGACAGACTTCAAGACATTATAGACATCACAACATGCTTTTTCACTATCTATACAAAGCTGGCTTATTTTTTTAAAAAGTACACAATACGAATATACATGGTAGCAATGCTACTGGGACATCAGCAGGATTGCAGGGGCGCCTGCATGCCACTAGCAAAGTGGCAGATAGCAATGGCAGACACAAGGGGACCCGAACTCTATGGGCTGGGGGCACCCATGCCAGCAGGCTTCATGCTGCCTACAACAAGGCTACAATGAGACTTGGGGAAGCTCTAGTTTTGGTACAGGCACTGTGGGAAGCAGATTTCTTCAAACTTGACATATTCTGGCTTCTTCTCTCTAACACATCCCAGTTCTTTGCTCTCTCCATCACAGGTTCAGTATTTTATGCTGATTCTCCACATCCACACAGTCCAAAGATATATTCCTCAGGTTTCATATCCCAATTCCACTCTCTTCTCCTATCCCCTTCCCTGCAAATCTTGTAGCTGGCTCCTTATTCCAGGCAGCCCTGCTTTCATCCAAGCTCTCTTACACTTTTATTCCCATAATCTTTACTCAGTTCTTGCAGCCCAACGCAGTCACTCCCCCTTTCTCACCAATGATACCCAGTTACACCGCTGCCCCAGTATCAATCTATTTTCCTTAAACCTGCATAAACAGCCTATATCCCCTCTTTACTCCAGTGAAGCAGCTTTCCCCGTTCAACCCTGGTGAGAAGAATTTTTAGGACAGAAGGTATCTTTAGGCAAGCCAGCTCTTGACTCTGAAGGAGCAGGGACTCTCCACACTGCATACACGCACACTGCAGTGTTTCAAAGGCTTATGACTTGGCTGAATGGGATAGACTTGTTTGACTATGGCAAAAATCAGGCCCCTGACACAAAAGCCAGTTCAGATCTTGTTCCAAACATCAGGGCCTCCATGCTCCCTGCCCCTTCCCTTTTGTTTAAAAATAAAAAAAAACATGACAACATACTCTTTCCTAACCTCTCTCTCACAAAATGCCTTGCTTTTTTCTTAGAGGCATCTCTTTACCCACAGAAATTTAGCCTGCGTAAAAATGACCAGTACAAATACTTCACTCTGAACAGGTCAAGTTTCTAAAAAGGCTGGTAACCAAGAAGAAACCACTAGACTGGGCAGCACAGAGCATGAAGCTGTGTTTTAGAACATCAGAATGCTGCAACCGTTCTCTACTTAATTGCATTAAGCATTTGTATGTTCAGATGATTTAGTCAGAATCCTTTTACCCCATGATTGACTTTGGGGAGTGCAACGAATCCTACCTTAAAGTTCTTTAAAACTTCCTGTGTATTTTTGGGCTGGGAGTAAGGCTTGGGTGTCAGCATAGGCACAGCCTTGGAGACAACACTTTTGCTGGGAGATGTACGGCCCGTTGAACTGCTAGGCTCTAGTTCAGCGGTGGGAACAATGGTTGCTTCAATGGTGGCAGTGAATTTTGGAGCAGGCAGTGACTGCTGCCTTAAGTATCTCAGAGGATTCGGGTCTTTCAGTGGGGAATTTGGCTCCACTGAATGGCTTCTTTCCAGAATTTTTGGCATCTGCAAACGCTCAAGGACAGCTTCACTGATAGTGAATCTTTCGATGTACTGCTGGAGGATGCTCTCAGCCTCCTCCTGTGACTTTGCATTCTTGTATGCCTCATGAAGTTCCCGCTCTCTTCTCTCTCTGCATGGGAGACAGCACAAGAAAGACCACTGCATTAATGCTAGAAATCACTCCTACTTTCTCTGCTCCATCAACATCCTTCCCTCCCCCTCATCCCTGGCCTGCAGGCATGGCTGCCCACAGTTACCTATCACCTATGGAGCACACAGCATTTTCAGACATGCCTCTGCACTTCTGTAAAACAACATACTTCTCTTCCACAATTTCTCGGTAGGTTTTGATGCTTTTTCTGCGCTCATTTGTTCCGTCTCCAGACAATAACCTTTCCATTTTCTTTCTCTCAGCTTCTTTTTTTATTAAATCCTGTGAAGCGCTCCTTCGACGACTCTTCCACCGAGCCAGGTCCTGTGAAAGAAGAAAGGTACCTGAATGCAGAGTTGCAAATAGCTAAAAACTGGCCACAGAAACCAAGCTTTGCAGCACTTGCTCTTGCCTGTGAACAAGGCTCTCAGCACCTGCAGGCAGCAATGTTTATTTTAAAGAGAAAAGGAGACTATATCATAAAATGAAGATGTTGCCTGACTCATTTTTCTCCTAACAGCAGGATCCAGTAAGTGTTTCATAGCTCCACTGGTGCATTTTCTTTCTGGCTTTGCAATGTTGCAGAAGTACGCTAGCTAATAACACCAGGAAATTTGGCCTAAAATGACTAGTCAGGGCACTCATTTTCACTTGGGCCAACATTAGGGACAAAACGTAATTCCCCAAGAAGATGAAGTAGAAAATTTATGTTTGGAGAAGAATTTTAGTAATTCTGCAGGATGCAGGAGTTCATTGGAGGAAGGGACGTTGTTTCATCATGAACTATAACCGCACTGCTGGTCTCCCCTGGAGAGCTGATAGTCCCGTACTTTGCCCATGCTGTCAGCCAACTACATGCAAGCATGGTTGACCCATGCGTTTGGTTTTTATTTCGACAGAAAAATCCAGTGCAGCATCCAAACTTAAATTCTTTCTCATGGGCACCATCCAATATTTTGGACCCAGATCTGAGCAACACAGGTTAGGGACTGAAGTGGCTGACACTTGGTCGGTACGAGACATGACAGAGCAAAAAGCCCATGGTTTGTATCCAGCTATACAGATATGTCCTTGTTGAAGTAATGATCTTACTCTTTTTGGAATCTGCCTGCCCAAAATAGTCCAGAAGATCCGCTGATTCTGGTTCTTTACCTTTCTTGCAAAACCTGCCTGACACTAAACCAGAGAGTCACAAGAGATACCTGCTACCCACACCTATGTCTTGCCTCCTTGCTTGGGTTATGAATTCACAAGTCTTGGTGGGTATAGAGACAAGATCTTTTTCAGAGTAAAAGTATTACAAATAAAGAAGTTTCCTAAACTGTAATATTTCTTTGCAGCCAACTAGTAAAGGAACAAAATTTTACATGTAAAAAAATAACCTCTGCAGAACTTCTGCAAAGAAAAATAATGTCCTAGGAAACCGTAGGGGAACATTTGTCATTAACTTTACAACATCAGGAGATTAGTATACAGATTATATTTCATGCACTCTAACAAATTCTGGTTTTAATAAAAACCAGAGATTCTGTACACATACACTATTTCATTAATTACATGGTTTTCCAAATATTTTAATTGCATTTTTATTGGTAAACAGCAGAAGGTACTGCAAGCATAACTTACTTTATTAAAACCAGGAACAAACTGTGTCACTTTTAATTTAGCTTAAAACCACAAATTATTGACGTTAGACTCAAGGGAATGCTCATTAAAGTATTTCTTCACATGACCTACATATATCAGTCTATAATCCCCTTCTTGAAACATAGGCCTTTCATTTTCCTCAGTTACTAATTGTTCTCACTGAAGTACCAAAGCATTTCTTTATTCAGCTACTCCCACTATTGCCTATTGTTTGGAAATTAGTTTTTCATTAGCAAATTTCATAACAGAAACCCTCCTCCTCTTTTTGTAATTAAAAAACAGACATGTTTATCTTTTCCAGCTCTGATGCTTTAGAATAACAGTAATAAAAAAAAAGCCATGAAACTGTTAATTGTTGGCAAATTTACAGCATAGGCATATAAAAAATATGTGACCATGAATGCAATGTCATCTCCATAAAGCCCTTTGAATACCAAGGACATTCCAGTAAGGGCATTTTTAGTGGCTCTTCAGAACTTTTAGTTCCATGTAGAACGTTCTGAGGACCTGGAAAACTTACTCGCTTTAGCTCAGAGAATTTTGCATTCAACAGCAAAGAGTTCTTAAACTTCTTGAATGCCTTCGGACTCATTCTTATCTCTGCTGGGAAATTACAGCTTCCCACACATTCAGACCTCTCAGCTCAAATCCTTTGTTGTTCCACTATGAAAAGTTATTTCTTAGCTGTATATACTGGTTTTGACTTTTCCTTGAATTTTCTACCAAAAACCTCTCTGAGATGTTTCACAGTAGCTGTCCTTATAATGGGAAATTACTGTACTAGCTGCTTGAAGAGATGTGTTTTGTGTTTTTTGTTTTTTTTAAATTTAAAAAATATGCCCAAAATTCCTCATTTGACATCCATTTTTATGAATGAACAGGATTGATACTAAAACTCCTGCTACTAACTCACCTGCAAATCATGCTCTTCTGTCCTTATTAATTTGCTGAAGATAATGCAAAATGCCTGGACAGCTTAAAAAAAAACATTGAGGAAAGAGAGTTTGGAAAGAACTTGTAAACCAAGCAGGGTGTAGCTAACTTAAAGGGCAATTTGTTTGCTTGGACAAGATTAAAAATGTTAGAGATTTCTGTATCTATGCAAATTTATTAAAGCCAAGTCCAACCTATTTATTCATCGTCCTGCTTAGTCTTGTATTTTGTCACTTTGGGCATTTACTAATTATAAAAGTCAGAGAAATCAGCAGTTAGAAGCTGTTCTGCTTCCATTTTTACCTAATCACAGTTTAATTACAGCTTTTTAAAAAGCACAATACATGGTGCCCAGACCCAAAAGACCTTGTATTCTATAATTTACATCAAATTATGAACTTCTAAGCTTTTAGCAACAATCCATTGTGAAAAAAGAAAAGGAAAAATGCTCCTGATTATTTTAGAGCTAAAGAACAACTGTAGATTTGGTAGGTTGCACTTGTTTGCCTAGCTAGCTGGCCTCAATGCTAGCAGCGGAGAGGATGTTGCACACTCACGTCTTGCCATCGGGTCTCATCCTCTTTCAGCTGGTTGTGTACGTTCTGCAGTTTCTCATGGCGAGCTTTGCTGTGAGGCTGAGTCACAGCTTCTTCTTCACATCTCATGTCAAACATGCTCATACTCCTAAACAAAGGAGAAATAAGAAGTGCAGTGTTATTTAGAGGCTTGTATTCCTTCAGCTTGTTAGAGCTAAAGCCACATGAGGGTGCTACAGCAGAATCAGTCACCTGCACTGTTACGAAGCTCCCAAAAGCAGCAGTCCCCTAGAAGGACCAGTTAGTATCCCTATGGCTCCCACATAGTACTTTAGGCATTATAATTCTCAACTTTCTCTTGTTTTTGTTAGTTGACTGCAATTTTGCCTCCAACTAAGAAGCATTACTAACATTACACCTCCATCAGTAGCTGTTACTAAAATAATTCTATTCAGAGCAGAGTTCAGAACATTTTACTTTCTGAAGCTTTGTTTTCCAGGGAGTTTTCAAGACCCCCCCAATTAACAATGCAGACAGAAGTTTCCATTTCAGTGTGAAAGAAGAGAGGCTTGAGAAGTATATTAGGGGCAGCCTGGCTGGCTTAATGCTATTGCTACAAAACCAGGGAGAGCCTGCCCAGAGAAGTACAAGCAGTGGAAACAGCATGGTACTTCCTCCTCATCCCCCCCGCCTCGAAGAAACTTGATGCTATCGGCACCAACTTATTAATACAGCTAACCGAATAAAAAAAAGCTGGCATTCAGGACAAAACAGTTTCTTTCTATGCATTCTATTTCTGTCCCTGACCTTTGGAGAGTTAAAGGAAAAAAAGTTCATGGTTTGATATTATACATCTATTCATATTACATAAAGATCTTCACACAAAGATAAGATACTTACTACACCTCCCCTACTACCTATTATTAGTAAAACACAACCTCCATTGTGCCATTATAAGCAAAAAAAAAAAAAAAAAAGCCATGCAGTTCCACATGAAGTGATTTTACAGTGGTCTTCAAATGATCATCTGTAGCTTTAGGTGAGCCAACGAGCCAAGTAGCAAGAGAAGCACCCAATGAAGAGAAAATTGTAGTTGACTGTGTACACAGTAATCAAAGTGAATAGACATGGAAAGCTGTGCATATATATATATATTTAGCCAACATTTGTATTCAGGCAAGCAAAGGTGGGAATGAACCACTCTCAAGGGAAAACTGAGAGGTCTGGACAGTGGATGGGAAAGGACATGCATAGATCCCATCCTGTTAGTAGGCGATTATTCAGAAATGAAGGACAGAGTACACATCCTATTGCCTTTAAGCATGAACAGTGGGGTTAGCATATTACTGTGCTTCACCCCTTAAACATAGGGCTGAGGCGTACAGTAGTTTGGATTTCTCTGTGGGTAGTTTAATGGGTTGCATTGCTCAGGATTGAATTGGAGCACTCCTAAATAACAGGACCTAAAGAGATAGCAAGTTTTGTTGTTTTTAAAACTAAAGGTGTATCACCTACTAAGGAACATTTAAATATCAACCACATTTTGCAGACTGGTTGGGAGATGCCTAACTTATAACAAAGCCACCCTTAAAGGGTTTATTCCAGTTTAAGAGCTTTTGAAACTTACACTATGAAAAGTCTTTAGCGTTAAGCATTTACCACCTTGTGCCTCACTGCGTCAAACTGGGTGTGTAGTTCCTTTCTTGTACCCCTTCCTCAGAGAATTTTTCATTCACAGCAGTAGAAGAAAACAGGTGACCCAAAACAGCGGTAACTGGTTCTAGCAGAGAGCACAAGTATCCACCCTCTGCCATTTGGGATGGGAAAATAAGAATACTTTCTACCAAGAGTCCCCTGATGTCCTAATGAAAGGCTAGTATTTATCCCCTCTGTTCACTCAGGGTCTCTCAGGGTGCACAGAGACAGCAAAACCAAAAGTTTTATGGCTATTAACAGTACAATAAAAAAGAGACTCGAAAAGGCTTCAGCCTAGGCCAGGAATCAAACTATACAGTACAACCCCAGATGTACCTTCTACTCTTGTTGTCATCTCCTGCTGCTGGGCCTTCATTGCCATGGATAAGCAACCAGATAGGTTCAAACACTAACTCTGCAGCAATGTGTTATTGTGCAAACGTATCTTTCTGGGAGAGCAATGAGGAGTTGCCTCTCAAAGCACTGTGCTCTGCTCTGACCAACGTGTAACAGCCATTAATGAGCCTCCTACTTTCCTGAACACATGCAAAAGGCCAACTGAAAGGTCTACGTAGACTTCTTTGCCTGACGACTTCATTCTTAGAAAAGAATCGGAGGCCAAAACTCTGAGCTTCTGCCAAAAGACACTGTCACACATAATTTCTTCCTATTTCTTTCTTAGATAAACTACAAATGACTACTCCAGGCCATCACTAACACCTGCATGAACGGAGCTCGTATAGTCATGAAAAATGTACTTTCCTCCAACTATGTGCTGGGCCAGCAGGCACACAGGCTTAAGAAACCCCAACAAAACATAAAAAGTGACAGGCTGGCTAAAGAATCAGACTCTAGTAAACAAATACTGAAAAATCTTAGCTCACTATAATTTGCTTGTCAGGCTGTATTAGGCTTGCATGGCCAGGTTTTGGTAGTGGGAGGGCTGCAGGGATGGCTTCTGCGAGAAGCTACTGGAAGCTTCCCCTGTGTCTGATAGAGCCAATGCCAGCCGGCTCCAAGATGGACCCACCGCTGGCCAAGGCCGAGCCCATCAGCGATGGTGGTAGTGCCTCTGGGAGAACAGAGTTAAGGAGAAAGAAACCCAACTGTGCAATGGGAACCGCAGCGAGAGAGAGGAGGCAGAATATGAGAGAGAAGCACTTCCGCAGACACCAAGGTCAGTGAAGAAGGAGGGTCAGTGAAGCATAAGCCTAAATTCATACTGGACTGTCGCACTACCCCCAGAATTCAGCCCCGTCTCTTCGTGAGATGGGACTAGGGCTTGATCAGCAGCAGCACAGACTAAGTGTTGTCTTTTCCGGACCTTAAGGCAGACCAGGGCTGACGACAATGTCCAGCATTCACTAACCAGCAATGGGAACTTTGTCAGTCTAACAAGGGAGTTTCTGGTTTTGCAGCACCTAATCTAAGGCTGAATTCAAGTTACAGAGTTTTCAAAGGAGACTTGACAAACATTTTGGAAGAATTTTAAATGTTGGTTCCATTTATTTTTCCTACTTGAGAGCCAAATTTTATTAGATTCTTCATACGTACTTCATCTTCAGAAGGAAAAACACTATTGCATGTTTATAAGAACTTAAATGTTTAGGAAAATAGTTGCTCTGTAAACTGTGGCATATCTGGAAAAGATGACAACGAGGCTTGAACATTTATTGTTTTGCCTTTTAAAACAAAAACAGAATCAATGTGCAATAAAGAATATGATTTATTCATCTTTGCTACTCTCACATTATACAACCAAACGCATGGAGATGCTTTCAAAGAGGCATTACAAAGTACCTTCTCTCATGTTGGTATTTCATATAGACATGCAAAAATGTGCAAAAACAAATGAACAAATCAATCGGATAGGTAAGCTTTCTGAAATGGTCAGGGAAGTCACCATTGACAAGTCTAACACTTCTCTGTTATGCTCTTTTTATCTCATCTCTTCATTTGATTGAACACATTTCTGCTGCTCGAAAATGATCACGTTTACTCTGTGGTCAGAGGACACAGGCTTTGCCCAACAAAGGTATTACAGATCTTGTAAAGAATATTCAGTCCATGATTCTAGCCTTTATCACTAGAGAAAAGGGTGAAAAATTGTATATGAGTCTCTGTATATACTTGCTATAAAAAAACCCCTCCATGCTGTTTCTATTTTGCGATTTAATCCGGGAGACAGAGAAGGTCATGTGCATTTCTGTGAACAGAAGAAGGATATTAAGGACATTATGATGTGGGTAGTTCTCAACTATTTCTTTGCTTCTAAACGTCTACACTTTGTAAGAATAGCTAATACTTCCACAGAGCTTTCTAAATGACGTTGCATACTATTCTGAACTACAGTTTACATGAATACACAAATTAAAATATGTCTGAGTGCAATAAATGTCACAGTCCTACTCCTTCTGTGAAAAGTAAAGCATTGAGGTGAAGAGCTTAAAAAAAATCCCAAGTTTAATACATTATAAAATTAAACCCAACCTAGAAGGGATTCAAGAGAAGATTTTTAAAAGACAGTAAAGGAACAGCTGAAGATGTATCTTCCTGGTAATTAACCTGAAGATCACAATGGATTTTATTTTACTTTGGGCTTTCTTTTTTCTTCCTTTATAGGTCATACTTTTTTTTTTTCCCTCAATACCCAGCCGAGATTCAACCCAATTCCCTTTACCTGTAGCTGATTAGAGGCAATGGAAGTTCAGAAGAAAAACGAAAGAAAACAGAAGAAAAGAAAAAGAGGAAATAATACTTTAAGCAACAGCTGGACATTAGTGGTGCACTCAGTTTTTGTGGGCTTTTATATAAAAATTGTTTTTAGCTGCAATGTAAGCCATATTGCATTTCATTTTTCAGTGATTTTCTGAAAAATTTATCTGCTGGAACACTGCAAAATAATAATGAGGCATCAACTACATTTTAAATTAGTAGAAAGATGGGAAAGCATGCAGTGTAAGTTGTTTAAAATAGAATCTTGTGAACACAAGACAACTTACTCTGCGTCATCAGACACAGCAGTTCTGGGGCCGAATCTACAAGACCAAATATAAAATTAGAGTGTTGATAAATACATTAAGTAGTAATTGCAACAGGACCCATACAATTTGGGTAACTGTGACTTGAACATCCAACCTGTACTAGTAAAGCTAACCAAAAAAGAATCATACTGTTCAGGGATTACGTATTCAGCAAACAAGACTTACCTAATCATCTGGAGGTCAAGCTACATAAGAACACCACCCATGCCTCCCTGACCCCATACTAATGCCCCCATTATAAAAAGCTGCTGAAATATAGCTAAAACAGGTGTAGAAACTAGGTATTGAAAACAGACAATATATTAACATTTACATTAAGTATCATACATGCAATGAATGGAGACAAAACTTAAATTACATTCCACAGCAGTGCTCAGAATCACCGTTACCGAGGCATGGAAGAGACAAATATTATAGGCAGAAAGTGAGCCACAGGATTTCCTTTTTTCTTTTTTTTGTGTTTGTTGTTGTTGTTTTTTGAGGGGGGAGTGTAGCTGAAAAAAGGTACTGGCAATACACAAGTCAGTGTCATTCACTAAAGTGACAGTCGTGTTTATAGGCATGCAAACCACCTATTTGTATCCGGGATTTATCACAAAAGAACATCAAGTACAAAAGTCAACACTGTAACATTTTCTAATCATAGAGAAGCAAGATACACATCTCTAAGAGAGCAGAGTCCAGCTGAACCTCTGCTATTCATAAGCCTTTTTTGCAATTCAACATACACACTGTGATAAAATATATCCTTTCAATTAGCTTTCATTTCACTATTTCAAATATTTCAAAAGAAAATACTTTACCAACTATTCTATTTGTTTCTAAGAATTGCATTACTGACATACAGTGTTTTAGTCTGGACTGAAAACACACCAGGCAACACACAATCTGAATTCTGAAGTGTGCACACAGGAGCGTACAAGCTGCGTGATTCACACCATACAGAGCTCACATTTGCAGATGCTCATCCTTGGATGACAATGGCTCCGTTTTGTTTTCCTCGGGAACATCTTGAAGCTTAGATGTTTGACCAAGGTGGACTTCATTAAGGCTACCTTCACCCACTGGGGCAGTACAAATAGTCTCATCTTTTCCTGCAGGAGGGAGATTGCATTTTTCCTGCCCTTGCTGCTGTTCTTGCGGCAGTTGTACTACAGGTTTTCCAGAGCTATTAATGCAGACTTGTGGACATTTTTCAGGCCTGAATGAGCCAAAGGCAGCAGTGCAAAGAGACGTATTAAGCAACACTTGAAAAATCACATATACGTAATGAAAAGCATAACTGTAGTTAACACCACCCCTCAAATGCAAATAGCTGATAGGCGACAAGCTAAGAGAGGCAGGTGCACAAAACATAATTTTAATAGAGAATCAAATGCTTGTACTACCATTCCTCAAAGTCAGAAAAACAAACTGTCTTGGACACCGCCAAAGACTAAAGTATTAAGTACATATTTTAACTAAGCTATTCAACATAAGGTCTTCTCAACACCAATTCTATGGTAGGTGACAGTTTTTCTTCTGCTGGCTGAGCTCTACACTAGTTTTTCATCTGTGTACGTACAGGCGCATGCATATCCTTCTCCTCATGTACTTTGAAGACGCTGATGAGTAAGAACCTTTCCACTCTCGCTTGCATGTGGCTCAGCCAGCCAGATAACTCTGTTCAAAGGCTTCAACCACCAACTTCCCCACGTAGCCTTATGTATCTGAACAAAGGTGCTTAGAAAGACACCAAGCACTATCAGGAGGGATCTCCGTATCTCCAGATTTCCTGTTTGGATGTCACTGGCACCAGCTAAGCCACAGACAAGCATCTAACCTACCATACCCAGGCACCTCTATTTCTAGCTGGAAACATTTGTAATGATTAACTCATATTTAACCAGAAACCTCTGCAAATATAACAGAATCTTGATATGCATATCCATTTCCACACACTGTTAGAATTCTGCATCTGGTAGAGTTCTGCTCTGAGTCTTTACAGGGCTCTGCCAAAAGGGCCAGAAATGCTGCCTTGCCTTATTTTGAGCAGAAAGTCAGCACAGAATCGAGGACAAGTATGGAAGAAACTGCTGCTGGGCCAACAGAAACTCTTCCAGATCAAGAGATCTTGACAAACAGCCTACAGGGCCAGCTGCAAGGGAAAGATTTCTTACCTTGTAGCTTTCTTCTCAAGTTCTCTAGCTGTGCCCTGCTTTGAAAATGGCATGGGAAGGAACTGCTTAACACTGGGCCCAGGCTGTTTTAGGAAAGCTCCAGTTCTTCTGGCCAACATGTCATCTCTTTGTGGGTCTGGAAATTTCAGTTTGTTTTCTGTTCCACTGCTCTGCTGCTGGGAGTTTTCAAGCTGTTTTTGGCTCTCTTCTTGTGTGACAGTACTGCTCAGAGAGACAAGTGACACTGTTCCATGATAATGCTCACTTGTGCAGCCTGAAGGCAAGTGGCTGCTGAGGCAACGTGGGGTACGGTTACTTAAAACACAGTTGCAGAGTGATGGACAACTAAGCTACAGCCCAGGGAGTGAGAGCAAGAGAAAACTACGTTGAACGCCACACTTACATAGGTGATATGTTAAAAGTCGGGGATTGCATAAAATGTATGCAAGGAATTATTCACTTGGAAGCTGGCATTAAAGTTTGGACAAAGCACCATGGATTGCAAAAGAAATCCCCCCAAAAGATGAAAGACCATTTTCATGCTGAACAGCAATTAACAACCGAAGTACTTAAATATTATGAAAGAAAACAGACTGTTTTATGTTCATAGGATACATTCCTGTAAGTAATTTCATAAAACAGAACACATGCCATGATGAATGAGTAAAACACATCTTTAAAGGCTGTGTGAAGAATGGAACAACATTGCTGACTGATCCAAGCTAACACCACACACAAACCAGGCATGAGACTCAGAGGGATCTGTTTCTGTTCTCTGACCTTTCTGCTTCCCGTGGACTCTTCAAATCCTTCTCACGAGCTACTGCCTCCCCTTGCTGCTGCTGCAGCAGATGAGGAGCTACTGAGAGGGGAGGACAATGTATGGGAATGGGGCTGGTGGTACGCCTCTGAAAAGTTCCCATCCTTCTAAGTAACATATCATCTCTCTCAATGTCTGGTAAATGCCCGATGCAGTCTTCCTCGGTGCTTTCTTGCCATTTGTTCAAATTGCACAGGGTTTGTTTCTCAGAGACAACGCCAAGAGCTGGGACTGGTGACAGCATTCTCCTGCAAGACTCACCTGTACCTGATTTGGCTACCTCACTAGTGATGCGACTCAGAGGAGGGGCAAGACAGACAAAACATTCTCAGGTCAAATGAAAAGTAAGAAGAGTCATCCTCCAACTCAGTTTGCAAATGTTTTATAAACACACAAACTTAATTGAATGAATTGCTTGCTAAAAGCATTCATTAAAAATTCTTGCTACAGCCACAGACTAAGCAATTAAAGAAAAGCCAAATAAATGTAAGCTCTGCTAATATGTTAACTTCCCAGAGCTGTAATTCTCCTCCACATAAATGCCAGGAACACAGAGCACCAATACACCTTGTTTTCAGCATCACATCTTCAAAAAGAAAGTAAATCCATTAGGTTTGAAGAAAGCATTTTTTTGAACATCAGTAAGGCCAGCAAGCTGAAGGGCAAATTCCTACTATGCTGAAAGCAGGCAGAGCAAAGCCACTGGAATTCAAGAAGCTGAAAAAGCTTGAACAACAGCTCAGACTTTGAGATACGAGTTATTTCACTGCTCATCAGAAATTCTGAGGCAAGCTCTCAGAAGACCTTTGCACAGCATTGTTTTGCGTAACCCTAAACATGTTAAGATACTGTGAAGGCATCAGATGACTTCTGAACAAGGCCGTGCGCGTAAACAGCTCTTAGATCTATGCTGCAGTACACCCCCATGCACATCAGCATCTTGGCAAGAACAGGACTCATTTCCAGCTCAGCAGTGCTTCCTAAGCCACACCAAATACCTGGATTCATTCTGTGGCTTAGATACTTCATCGCTGCATTCAGCAAACCCGAGACTGCCAACAGTGCAACCAGAAGAGCTTTCAACACTGGAGTGACTCTCCACACAATCTTCCTTGCTCTCCTCTTCTGTTCCACGCTTGGATGAAGCTCTGCCAATAACGAGCTTGTCCCATTTCTGTTGATCAATCTCAGTTACTGGCCCAAAATGCACAAACTTCTGCTTGGGGCTACCAGCCTTTTTGTTTGCTCTGGCTTTGCGGACAGCAAAATCATCATGGGCTGCTGCTTTCACTGTGATTTCAGCTGGTGGCAGTGTGTCACTGGGACATTTGAAATCTTCTTCACTAGTATGAATGAGGAATAAAAGAATCCCCCCCAAAAATGAGACCCCAGAATAAAGCAAATTAAATGCTCCTAAGGTTTTGGAGGGCGTTTATTTTAAAATTCAAGGACATAGGTACAAACAGCTGTGGTATACTGAAGCCTAAATGACAGACAGAATTTGAAGACACTGCAGACCTGTCGAGGAAACTCTGGGAGCACATCCATGGAAGCCCTTCCTTAGGGGAATGTACATAGCATACGGCCCATTCCAGACTCAGTTCTTTACCCTAACAAAGCCATAGTTCCCTCATCTGCTCACATAGACCTGGGCCATGGGACTGCACAAGCATGAGCACGCCCACTGTTCCAGTGGCACAAGAGCATCAGGAAGGGCAATTCACTTATCCTAAACCAAGGGGACTGAACCTTGATTTTAATAAATCACCTCAAAAAATAATGGAGAGAGTACTAATATCTTTGAGACAAGAGAATGATTGAGTTTTGATGCTTTGTATTAGAGCTAAAATTACACATAGTAACCACATTGTTAGAAGAATGCCTGAACAGATGGCCACCTTTAATTGGAAAATGGCATGTGCCTGAACAGGAAGGCTAGGAGTTGTTATCCTTTTCTACTGCAGTCACAAATCACCTGCATATGTTATAGCCCACCTCCATAGGGAAATAGCTTA